TCCAGCTTAAAATGTCATTGTAATATCATGTTTGACCTACTTAAGCATGCTTTTATGATGCACTACCCCCAGGATCCAGATGTGCCACTGAGGGACTTGTAGTGAACCCATTTCTTATCTTCCTGTATCCTGCATGTGCTTTTGTACTAGGTTTGTACTAGATAAGTTAACACCAATTCGTGTTCTCTCATGTTGTGCAACATGAGGAAGTAAGCAGGGATATATTCCAAGAATGTGCTGTCCTGGTTTTGATCATCTGTAGCCAAAGAGTCTGGCAAACACCACAGCAGAGCTTCCAATTTTGATTTAGAAGTTAAAAGAAAAGAAAAGCAGGGAAGAACCATGCAAAGCTAAGCTTTCTGTGCAGCTGCAGCATATAGAATTCTTGGGGCATCTAAAAAATCAGTATTCATTTCATTCTGTATCTTTCATTTTTTTAAACTCAGTCAGTCAGCATTCTGTAACCATTGAGCATGTTCAGTGGCCCCCTAGGCTGTTTTCAGTTTCCTCACACATTCCATTAGTGGTCTGGGTTTTTTCTTTCTTTTTTAAAAGATGTTTTGCATTTCTACATTCTCTTTCTGTCAAGCCTATGAAAATTACCTCTTATGGGTGTATAGCAGTGTTTTGGCTACCTACTCAACAGCAATCACAGCCTGGACATTGGAAACACAGAGAATTACATGATTTCAGTTGATTTGGTCAGGATACGTTTCTGTGGCATGTTGTCAGAGAATGATCACATGAGACCTCATATGGGCTCTGGAGCATATGTGATTTTAATTCTTGTGTTGTCTGCTATATAGATGGCTGGGTAGCTCAGTGATTTTGCTTGCTGGTTGTGGAGACAGAGGTTGAGGTTTGATTGAGAAGAACCAACCTGTGTAGTCTTGGGCAAGCTACATGGTCCCAGAGCATCCCCAGATGAGAGAAATTATTAGACTAGGCATCCTTCAGTGTCGAAAGACTATGGTAATGTGCTCTGTATGGAGGACGTGGAACAGCATCTAGTGTGGCTGAGAAGGCCAATTCGAGAGGGACAATCCCTTCCACACTGAAGACAAATACAATCTGCCCCCTGTCCAGCTCCCTGATTTTGCTGCTTTTGTGACTGCCTTTTTGCCTCGGCCTGCTGGACAAGTGTCTCTTCAAATTGGGAGAGGCCGTGATGCAGCGCCTGCCTCCAGACTAAACACTCCAATGTCAGGGTTTCCCATCTGTTGAGGTCCATTCCTATGGCCTTCAGATCCCACTTGCAGATGTTCTTGTATCGCAGCTGTGGTCTCCCTCTGGGGCACTTTCCCTGCACTAATTCTCCATACAGGAGATCCTTTGGAATCTGACCATCAGCCATTCTCACGACATGCCCTAGCCAACGTAGACGTCGCTGTTTCAGTAATGCATACATGCTAAAAATTCCAGCTCATTTTAGGACTACTCTGTTTGGAACTTTGTCCTGCCAGTTGATACCAAAAATGTGTCAGAGACAACGCATATGGAAGGTGTTCAGCTTCCTCTCCTGTCATGCACAAAGGGTCCAGGACTCACTGCAGTACAGCAGTGTGCTCAGGACACAGGCTCTATAGACTTGGATCTTAGTAGTTGCTGTCAGCTTCTTATTGAGTCATACTCTTTTTGTGAGACTTGAGAACATACAGTAGTAGCTGCTTTGCCAATGCATTTATCCATCTCAACATCTAGGCAGAGAGTGTCAGAGATTGTTGAGCCAAGGTACACAAAGTCATGAACAACCTCCAATTCTTGCGTGGAGATGGTAATAGAGGGAGGTGAGTCCATGCCCTGGCCCATGACTTGTGTTTTCTTCAGGCTGATTGTTAGTCCAAAGTCTTGGCAGGCCTTGCTAAAACGATTCATGAGTTGTTTGAGGTCTTCAGCAGAGTGGGCAACAATGGCTGCATCATCGGCGAAGAGGAAGTCCCGTATGCATTTCAGTTGGACTTTGGTCCTTGCTCTCAATCTAGAGAGATTAAAGAGCTTTCCATCTGATCTAGTCCAGCGATAGACACCTTCTGTTGCAGTTCCAAAGGCATGCTTTCAGAGAAAGTATTAAGTCAATTCTAAGTATTGTGTACCTAGGAGATCCTGGCAAGGGTCACCATAAGTTGGAATCGACTTAATGGCACATGCCATATAATGCCATATAATGCACTCCCACGGTGAATGTGACATACTTCCAGAAGTAGCTTTGTACCATTAATAATTCAATGTCACATGAGCCTGCTTTGATTTATTTAATTGCTGTGCCCCACCACCCCTTTTATGGTTATAAAATAATTTGGCGCAGTGGTTAAAACGCTGCACTGCAGCTAAAACTGTGCTCACGACCTGGGGTTCAAATCCCATGTAGCCGGCTCAAGGTTGACTCAGCCTTCCATCCTTCCGAGGTCGGTAAAATGAGTACCCAGCTTGCTGGGGGGGCAATGTGTAGCCTGTATAATTAAANTTAAATTGTAAACCGCCCGGAGAGTGCTTGTAGCACTATGGGGCGGTATATAAATCCAATAAATAAATAAATAAATAAATAAATTTTTCTGTAGTAGTATCACCATCATTTCCCCTGAATGTGCTGATACCTCCTTCTTGTTACTCAGTGTTTCTGTCATGCCAGTATTCCTGTTTGTACTTAAAGCCTAAGTTTATTATTAAAATAGATAATAATTATTTAATAATAGAGAAATCTGGGGGGAAAAAGCTTAATGGTTTTAAAAGCAACTCATTTATTTTATATTTTAGAATCAATAAGATGTGTAAGTTACTCTGAATGTGCTGATACCTCCTTCTTGTTACTCAGTGTTTCTGTCATGCCAGTATTCCTGTTTGTACTTAAAGCCTAAGTTTATTATTAAAATAGATAATAATTATTTAATAATAGAGAAATCTGGGGGGAAAAAGCTTAATGGTTTTAAAAGCAACTCATTTATTTTATATTTTAGAATCAATAAGATGTGTAAGTTACTGTTTGTAGAAACATTTTCCCAGGCATTCATTGAATTAAATTAAAAAACACATATGATAGTTTATAAAAAATACCACCAACTAATCCCAATCCTGTCATTTCTTTTCCCATTGTTGTCAGATACATTGATGATAAATATCTCCAATTCTATATTTATCTATAATTCCCTTTCACTGCAAGAATTTTTGTTTCTTCATATTTTGTAAATTAGTGATAATATAGTTGCATGTTGATGATTCTGGAGCCCCTCTGGTTTATAGGTAAAAATAAGGAGAAACCTGTGAATTTATTTTTACTATACTCTAAAAACAAAAACAGTAAAGGATATTTTAAGATGTATTGAGTGCATGATCTGATACAATCTTGAACAGACAGCACCGGGTTGAAAGAAAAGGCACCAGCCTTCTGTTTTTGTTACACCCATATGAGGAATGTGAATAATTAGACATTATCCTGAGTGTCTTTTCCCCAGAAACTAATAGTAGGGGTAGGGTTAAGTGATTCCTTATCCCCCCCTCAGCCTTCAAAGAGGAATGAATTGCCTGAAGGGTTTTGCGTTCCAAAGTAGGCGATTCACTGTGGGAATGCTGAAGTTGCTTTGATGGAAATAAAACCCCTTGTGTCGGCTTAATTTTGAAAACAAAAAGGCCATTTTGTTAAATTGCACCAACATAAGTTGAACAGCAGGACAAGGCTTCTCTCTGTCTTTCTCTTTCTCTCTCTTTTTGTATTTTTTTACATGAATTCCACAAGAAAGCTGTTTTTTGTTTACAGTAATTTCTTTTTTAAAATGGTCTTTTAGAAATCTGGCTAAGTAATGTGAATATATAGAAGTAACTGTACAAAATACTATAAGTCCAGTGTCGCCCTGCCCTGGAGGTTCTCCTCCCCTTCTCTGTTTTGTCACGTTCTTATGGGATACTTGCATATTGTTAGGAGAAACCTCAAGGATAGACTATAACACAAATAGGGAACCTAGATAATGCGTTGCAGAATGGATGGATGTGTTAAATTTCTGATGTCTTGTCTAATAATAATAATAATAATTTACTGTCACTGAATGTATATACACCGTATACACTCACAACGAAATTCACAAAGAACACTCAGAGACCAGACCAAAACACATACATCCCTCATAACTATCCTAAAATCCAGAACCCCGCCTAAGAGCACACAGTAGCCACACAACATACAACACAACAGAGCAAGTAATAGTAATACAGTCCAACAATTCACTGCTGGTGATTCTTAAGTTCCTTGTTAAGTTCAATTATAGGATAAAAACTGTTTAAAAAAGGTGTCATCCAAGTTTTAATTGCTCTGTATCTTCTGCCGGAAGGCATCAGTTCAAAGAAATTATAAGCAGGGTGGGAAGAATCTTATTAAAATATATGACATTCTTCTACTACAGACCTTACTCTGTTGGGTGTCAAAGTTCTGCCATTTTGAATGGTGACATTTTGTGCTTTTGATCATTTATGAGTTCTGTTTCATCACAATGGTGTCTACAACTGCAGTGGAAAATACTTTCTTCTCTGTCTTGACCATTATTTAAACAAATATTTTCAACTGTAGCAGCTTCTAGTTATGATGGCTGACCAGGCTATTTGCTTTTATGTTAGTGTTGTTGCTTATTTAAAAATTAATTACTATTTTTACTATTAGATCTCTCCCAAATCTACTGTTATATTGCATGTTTTATGTTAGAAAAGAACTGCCTTGGAAGTGGTTTTACTACCTTAAAGAACAGTTTCTAAAGGGAATGGTCAACCACCTCTAAGTCTTCCATACTTTGAAAACCTTGGAAAGGTTATCATAAGCTAAAATCAAGTTGACAGGACATAATTATGATTAAATATTGAGCTAAATCCAACACCAGCTATTGCCTGGCCACTAATGGGGTCTTCCCCAGCTGCCGTCCAGTTGAACTGGACTGAATTTATCAGGAAAATTAGCATCAGTAAATACTGTTCATGTTAATAGAGATCCTGTTTGGTAATGACTTGTTTCTCTTTTTCAGCTTGTGACTGTGACCTGCGGGGTGTTCAGACCCCACAGTGCAACCGCACAACCGGCCAGTGTATTTGTCGCGAGGGAGTCGAAGGAGCCCGTTGTGATAAGTGCACCCGGGGCTACTCTGGCACTTTCCCAGACTGTGTACCTTGTCACCAGTGTTTTGCTCTCTGGGATGTCATCATTAGTGAGTTGACTAATCGGACACAGAGATTCCTTGAAAGAGCAAAAGCTTTGAAAATCACAGGGGTCAGCGGTCCTTACCAGAAAACTCTAAATTCTGTGGAAGAAACACTAAATGAAATCAAAAGTATTGTTGCTCAAAATCCTGCTGCCGAACCTCTTCGGAACATTGGAAATTTGATGGAGGAGGCTGAGTAAGTATACCATAAAATGAAATCAACGTTTCTTCCTGTATGCTCGATCATGATGAATTGCAGATCTTGAATACTGCAGGAGCAGAGGAGAGAGAGCGAGCGAGAGAGAACTGTGTCATACAGATGGAAAATTTGAAGGAAATGATGAGACTGCCTAATAATTAGCAAGGAGATTCGTGTGTTGATTGTTTATATTCTCCTGGGATGTAGGGAAGACACCTCTGTTTATATGAGAGAATGTAAGATGAGAGATGATGTATTGTTCAGCCTTTGGCAGGTTAGTCATTCCCATTCTTCCTTCAAAATAGCAAATCTGGTGGAGGTTGTTCATAACCTCCAGTTGTTTATGTATCTCTAATTGAAGTTGAGCTGTCAACCTGAGAGACAAATTAGGCAACTTAATTGCATCAGCTGCCGGTTGAGGATGATCAGTAGACACATTTCAGGTTTTCATACAACTCAATAGCTTGTGTGCTTTTCCAGCAGAAGTTGGTTCTTCTTTTACTATTTAATATGGGCTTATAAGTGTTAGCACTAGCATTCTTTTATAACAAGTACTTTATAATAATACTCCCATTAACCTTGCCAGTCCTTCCTTCTGGTGGTGCTCTATTAGCATTATTTTATAACAAGTACTTTATAACAATACAGTGCTCTAGCACCGTGTACTCGCCCAAGGCTGCCCAAGTGGCAGGGCACAGGACCCTGTCAGCTGCACATGTGCCAGGTGATTTTGGCTGGCCCCCTAAGGCAGAACCGCAGGGATTCCCGTACCCAGTCTGGCTCTGCAGCCAACTGCTCCAACCCACTGAGCTGTACCTGCTATAGGTTTAGCGCTAATCATTTCTGGGTATTTCTCCCTCTCACTTCTTTCTGTTGGACCTTAATCACACACACAGTGATGGTCACAAGAATACTTAAGGCTATTTATGTGCAGTCCAGCTTGGATTGCACAAAGATGCCCAATGCTCTACCAATCATATTTGTTTCAGAACACTGAAGTCAACACACCTGGTGTGGAAAACTGGAGTGGATTTGTAGGGAAAGCACTTCTGTGCAGGCTCAAGTCCTAATGCAGCAAACAAATTTCTAGACTGAGTATGTGTGCAGAGGCATCACTTTTCTGGATTCTCAGTCAGCCCACCTGAGCCAATATTTTGCAGCTGGTTCTCATTGCTGGACTGTGGGAGTCTAATGCAAACCAAAGCAGATCCTACACACCTCAAATCTGCCCACCTGAAAGTTGCTGGTTTCCCTGCAGTATAAAAGTCTGTTCAGAGGCTGTGTTGCATGTGCATGAGGGAATGTATGTAAGACTATGTCTGTTCATGTCCTCTGCCTCCACATGCACTCATCTTGACAGTCCATAGAAGCCTGTGTTGCCTATTGAAGGATTCCCAAGCATGCATGCAAAGCCTGTGTACCTTCAGAGATTGTGTTAAACACATGTAGAGATCAAAGCCAATGGTTCCCGCTTTTGTACTCTCTGCATTTTCAGTGTAAACATGTAATGGCTGGAATCTTGTTGCTTAGCTCAGTAAGTCACACCTAGATTTGGTGAGTGAGTTCTGCCATAAATTCCACTGAATCGGTGAGTTAACTACGTTAAGCAACAAGATTCCAGCCAATGCAATTGAAAGAAGAATCTAGAGGAAGAGATAGCCTTTTGGAGGGAAGGGATAACTTCGCATAGCCAAGAAGATCTCCATTTTATAGCAAAGCCATAGGGCAATTCTTGTCTACACATTTTATTTGTCCAGGGACTGACCCTGTAGAAGTACTGTGCACACTGAAGTTGTGTATGTGCAGCATGGGGAAGACTGTTTAGCATTCAGTTCTCACAATTCTCTTTTACTGCATATTTCATGACTTGTCTTAAAAAGAATCCATTGTGCAGTTACCCCACCCCACCCCCAGAGCTAGCCTGTAAAAATAAATTTTAATAGCAGATTTGGTAATTACATGAGATATGAAATGAATTATGTATGGCTGCTGAGAGTCAGTGCTCTGACCGATGCAGTTGGCAAAGTTCAAATGCATTACAACAGACTTTTGGCATTTAGACTGAGTTAAGTCTCACATAAAACAGCTGTTTTCTGAGCCCTTGGCTGTCTTGGACTTCTATAATGATGAGGATAAAGAAGTGATACTCCTCTGATAAACCAGTATCATAGTTGGAGAATTGTAACAAAATAACTCAGCAGGTCATGGGGGGGGGGGAAGGGAAGGGATTAAGCTATCCCATTTCCACCCCTTGTTAATTCAAGGCCAGTCAGGTTTTGTTCTGTTTCACTAAATTGAGGTTCTGTTTTGTTCACAGGAAACTGAAAGCAGATGTTGCAGAGAAGATAGCAGAATTAGAAGAGACGGTATCCAAGGTGGCAACAGAAAGCAATCACACGGACACCCAGCTCAGTGCGCTAGAGGCAGATGCAAAGAGCCTCGACAGCGTTGTGAAAGAACTGGCAGAGCAACTGGAGTTCATAAAAATCTCTGATATCCAGGGTCTGTGTTTATATGTGGGGTACATTATTTGGAGGTTTTCCCCGTTGCTTTGTGTTTGGAAATAGTTTGGGGGGGTGGGGGTGGGGTTCAACAATTTCAGAAGGTCCTTTCTACCCACGCTGCCTGGTAGATCCTGGGAGTTACCCCCTTAAAAAAAGGACAACTCTTCCAAGTTTTAAGAAACTGCTTTTGGTCAGCGCACAGTGAAAGCAGATGCATCCAAGTCCTGCTGATTTTGGTGAACTAATATATGTTTGTGCTTAATCTTCCCAATGAAATGAATGGAATCCAAAGATGTTTCCCTACAGCTACTTCCTCAAGTTACGTCCTTGCAGGTCTTTTCAATTACAACTTCCATCAGTCCCAGCTAGCATTGCCGCTGACCTGGGATTATAGGCACTATAGTTCAAAATGTCTGGAAGTGCCCAGGATGGGGAATCCTGGACTTATGGGTAAAGGGGAAGAACATGGCATAGTCTTTCTGTTTGCACTGGGGCAAATTAGTAGGAAACCACTAACACCTTTGATAGAGCTTTGTAGAAGAACAATGAGTCATAGCTTTGTCATCAGCTGGGTTTCAGCATGTGGATTTTGTTTGTAATGAGAGGAGCGCAGAATTCTCAATGGTTCTCACGTTTGATCTTTTCAGGAGCCTTGGACAGCATCACCAAATATTTTGAAATGTCCCTGGATGCAGAAAAGAGAGCCAATGCCTCAGTTTTTCTTCCAGGAAGTGTAGTAGAGCAATCAGCCGAAATGCGGCTAGAAGTGGAGAGTCTGATCAATGAGACAGAGACGGAGTTCAAGAGTAAGCAAGAAGAGCAGTCACGCCTCTTGGATGAACTGGCAGGCAAATTGCAGAGCCTGGATCTTGCAGAAGTGGCTGAGAAGGTACTCAGGAGTCCTTGGTATAAGAACAGTGATCACAGAAAAGAACAAAAAAATGGAAGGAAGGCAGACCAGGCTGGGAAGACAGGACCAAAAATGTGGAGGACAATGCACTTGAATTAAGCTCAATCTGCAGGCAAGGGTGGGCAATACCTGCCTTCAGATTGTGTACAAAGCCTGCACAGCTTCCTTTTTTTCTTACAAACTCAACAGTGAGATTTCCATGGTGGCAAAGTGTGAGGGCTTAGAGAAGCCAATACAGTGGTGCCTCGCATAACGAGCACACAGTTTAACAATGAATTTGCATAGCGATTCGTTTTTTGGGATCGCTATTGCGATCGCATTGCGATGTTTTAATGGGGCAAAAATCGCTTTGCGATGATCGGTAAGCGTTTCGCTTACCGATTTTCGCAGAGCGATTTTTTAAAAACAGCTGATTGGCGGTTCCAAAATGGCCGCCGGATGCCCAAAATGGCCACCCACATTGTTTTTGCGCCCTGCCCTCGCTTACCGAGGGCGCGAAAATGGCGGCGCTATGGAGAAACTTCGCAGAACAGTGAGTTTTGGAGCCATAGGAATGCATTAAACTAAGTTTAATGCATTTCTATGGCATTTTCCGTTCCGTATGGCGATGTTTCCCCATAGCGACGGTTAATCCGGAACAGATTAACCTCGCTATGCGGGGCACCACTGTATGCCTTTTCAAAGATGCATTTCAAAGGGACCAAAATATTCAGTACAGCTGAAGACACCATTACAGAATTGCCACTAAGTGGCCATAATCCAATGCATAGATGCACACATTTAAATCAGTTGGGCATAGTTCGTTTGAAACCTTTTATTTTCTGGTTGCTTCATCCATCTTTTTGCTCACCATGCAAAATCTATGACGGAATGGAAGATGGAGAAGCAGCAGTCTGCCCTTTGATTTAATATAATGGGATGCTGTCAGTTGGGAATCATCCTTAAAAGAATAACCTTGTTTCTTGTACATTGAATGCAATGAAGAGTATAAAGTTTTTATAGCATGAGTAGAGATACATCTACTGCACAGAAATGGAAAGGGAATTCAGCTGGACAGCTGCTGTAAGGTGTAAAATAGATAATTTATTGCACTGCCTCTGACCTTTGGTTATTGGTGCAAGAAAGCAAGTACTCTAAGGGTTAAAAAACAGGACCACTGCTTTCAGCAAGAGGGCGCTTTGGGTAACAGCCGCAGCACATTTGCAGTAGGAATGTCCTTGAGTTTTAGAAATCACTGTAAAAGTTTGAGTAGCTGTTCCTGAGCAGCCAAGGCCATGCAGAGTAGCCTGTATGGCAGGGGTGGGCAATTGATTTCTATGGGGGGGCACCTGAAAAATCTGAACTGTGTTCGGGGGGCTGAACCAACTTTACTTAAAAATAAAATGAAATTGTAATTCACTCACTGTGGGGGAGGGGAGGGTAAAAAACCCGACACTGAGCTAACTCACCTGTCCTCCGTTCCCCTGTGGCTTTCCTCTCTGACGGTCTTCTATCCCACGCAGGCAACGTGATGCATCATCACGTCGCCTGCGCAAGGATCGCTTCCAGCCTCTTGAGCCGCAGGCTCCACAGCCTGCGGCTCAAGAGTAACAGTCAAAACTCGTGAGATCCCAGCATTGGATCTTGCGAGCTTTGGTTACTGCCGTGCTGGGTGACCGGAGCCGGAGCTCCGGCCTACTTAGCGGCGATGGGCGGGCTGGAGTGGAGTGACGACTGGTGAGCCAGACAGGAGCGGCTCGCGTGCTGCACTTTGCCCAGGTCTGCTCTATGGGGTGCACAAGAGTATGATTGCTGAATGCCAACACATGGGTAGTCTTTCAGTGCTCTGTTGAAGTGGCACCACGCATGTGAACGGTTTAAGCAAAACTACTAATTCCCATTTGAAGTGCCCAAAGAATTTGCTGTTTTCTAAATTCTGTCGTCATCCATAATGAGAAATAACACACGATGGCACACCTCATGAACACTCTCTTTCCTTGAGGCAAACTGGTTCATTTCCGCATCGACTTCAAGGTTATGATGTTAACATTCAAAGCCCTAAACAGTTTAGGACCTAGGTACCTCTCAGTACACCTGCTCCCAGCCAATTCTGTCCATAATACCCGTTTCTCATGGTTGAGGGCCTTGACCCAGAAGGAGGCCCAGAGGGAAAGCACTAGATACCGGGCGTCATCCAAAGAAACCAAAAGAAGTGGGAACTAAACAGGGGAATGTGTGCTTGTTTGTTCTGCTGGACATTTTGGTGGCTTCTGATGCCATCATACATGGTATCCTTCTGAGCCATCTCTCTGAGATGAGAGTTGGACGCACTGGTGTGCAGTGCCTGGCCTTTTGTGGAGAGGTGAACTCAGAAAGTGGTGCTGGGAGACTCCTTTTTGATGCCCTAATCATTGGCCTTAGGTTGCATGAAAGACACCTAGGTAGCTAACAGACAGATCTATTAAGTTAGCTAACCCAAGTTTTGTATGTTACAAAGCCTATTTCCCACTAGTCCTTCCTTTCTGACACTGAATGGGTAGAGGGTGGACTCATAAAAGCTTGATAGTTGCAATTATCAGGAGTCTCTGTTCATAACCGTTCGGGTCAGTGCTGATGACAACATTAGAAGTGAGCTCTTGATCCTGTCTCGAAACAGTGATAACCTTTGACTTTTCCTCCTGCTTAATCCTTCCTGATGCAGACCTGCGGAACTTCCCCTGGGGCTTCCTGCACCGATTCAGAATGTGGTGGTCTCAGCTGTCGAACAGAGGATGGGAAGATGAAATGCGGAGGGCCGGGTTGTGATGGACTGGTTACTGTGGCCCACAATGCCTGGCAGAAGGCAATGGATTTTGACAGAGAGATACTCAGCGCTTTGGCCGAAGTTGACCAGCTCTCCAAAATGGTACAGCATTTTTTTTTTAAAAAAGGAGCTCATGCATTTCTGATCAGGCTGAAAACACTTTAACCAGAAGATTGTGCAAGTCTAAATGAAATGTCATTGCCTAAATAATTTTTTCCTGTTGCATAATCCCATTAAGTGCCCTCATAAAAACGTACAGTTTACACAGACATCTTCGCACAGTCACTTTGATTATTCATTTAAAAGATAGCTGCTGCTGTGGGCACCTACTCGATCTTAAAAACTTTCTCTGGCTTTTATGGGTGTCTGTTGCACAGCTTTAGCAGCAAATACCATTTTTCCTCAGTATGTTCCTTCCCCCTGGGTTTTTCTTTTTCTTTTTTTAAACATCGAACATTGACATTGTTAAGACTGCAAATTACAGCCTGCTTTCTCCCCTTAGGTCTCGGAAGCAAAAGAGAGAGCAGATGAAGCAAAACAGAATGCGCGAGACGTGCTGTTAAAAACCAATGCCACTAAGGAGCAAGTGGACAGGAGCAACCAGGATCTGAGGAACCTGATTAAGCAGATCAGGGAATTTCTCATGAGTAAGATTTGTTCTCAAGGGGGCTGGGCTATAGTTTTGCATCTTTCCTGATTAATCATAGAATCATAGAATAAATGAGTTGGAAGCAGCCTATAAGTGTTTGACTCCATGCTCAGTGCAAAAACCAAATCAAAGCAGATCTGCCTCCCATTAACTGCCTCCTATACTTGATGCTTCCCTTTAAAAGCTGCAAAGCATCTGATTTCTGCTAGAAGCCTGAAGCTAAGACTGGACTAATGAGTTTTTCAACTCATTAGTTTTTTTTTTCAACTCAGACCTGTTCACCTCTGCATTCCCTCTTGGCACCTTTACCCATCCTCTTCCCTTGAACAACTTCTTCAATAAATAGCCTAATTTGCTTGCATGCTCTCCTTTTATGCCATTGGCTGGAGCCACACAGCATGGTGAATGAGGATCTATAGGAACTTTGAATTAGTGTGTGCAAAAAAGGTGCTGGTGCATGCTTTATGATCATTCCTGCAGGAGCATTGGCTTCCTGATTACCAGTGATGTACCTAAGAATGCTGATTGATCAGTGCTGTTTGTAGCAGGAGCAACTAAACACAAGGGTTCTCTCTGTGGCTTCTGTATTGTTGTCGTGTAAAGCCAGGGACAGTTTCTGCTCTGTGGTTTGTTCCCTCACCATGTGGAATTCATCTCTAGTTTGCTGGGAGAGAAACCGAGAAGAGTGGGCAGCAGCACTGGAACGTGATAAACAGGCATGGAATGAATGTTTTGCTCCCTCCCATTGTCTGGCAGTGTATGCTAGCACATTGCTCTTCTTAACCAATAAGCCAAAAGTCCCACAGATCTGCCTTGCCATGTTGTGTGAATTGGGTCATGGTGTAGCACTTGTGTACATACAAGGGAGGGATGAGAATATACAGCCTCTGAATGACACCCACTTCTACTCTCCCAAAGATGTATATGAAGAAAAACAACATTTATCCAGCAATGTTAGACTGTGCGTGGCTTATCCTCTCTCTCTCTCTCTCTCTCTCTCACACACACACACACAATTTTCCCTATATATTATATTGTACTTCAGTTTTCCAGCTTTGTATAGAATTTAAAATATTAAGAGGAAGGGAGCTAGTTTTTTTTTTCTTCTGTTGCCTTAACAGAAGACAGCGCAGACCTGGATAGCATTGAGGCCGTTGCTAATGAAGTGCTCAGCATGGAGATGCCCAGCACCCCTGAGCAGTTGCAAACCTTGACGGACAGCATTCGTGAGCGGGTAGAGAGCCTGTCTGACGTGGAGGCTGTCCTCGAGCAGAGTGCTGGAGATATAGCAAGGGCAAAGTCGCTGCTGGATGAAGCGAAAAAGGCCAGGTACCAAATTACGATATTTCCTGCTGCAGAGTATCTTCTATGTTGGTAGAATGCTAAGAGAGGCTGTTCTCCTGAGGCTCCTGGAGGATGGCCCTCCATTTCTGAGAAGGCACATTCTCATGGAGCAGATGGGCAGGGTGGACATCTACTGCTTTTCCCGAGTAGGGGCTGCCCTATTCTTCCAGAGCAGCTCCACTTTGTGAATGGAGAATTCATATTGGGCTCCAGGGGTAGCTTGTTACCCATCTCCCAGCAATTGTGTTTTGTACAAAGAAAATGTGATATTCTAGTTGAGACACAAGGCTCGCCCTTGTATCTCAGCTCTTCCATTCCAATCTGGGAGCCAAGGGCAGCCCTTTCCCTGGTGAAGAAGTGATGAATGATCCTACCTGTCTACTCTGAGGGGGAGGCAGCACCCTAAAAGCCGAATCTCAAGAGAACAAGAATTTGTGGGAAGATCTGTTTTCTCAGGGCCTTACATGAGCATTAAAAATACTGCATGGTGTTAGGAATGTCGACAAAGGACAAATTTAGTTCACAATGTGCTTTTCAGGAAAGGAAAAAAAATCTTTGTTTTAGTAATTCCTCTTTAACATTGCTTACTATTGTTAATTTTCATTAACCAGTAAAAGTGCAACAGATGTTAAGGTCACTGCAGACATGGTGAAAGAGGCGCTGGAAGAAGCTGAAAAAGTCCAAAATGCAGCTGAAAAGGCCATTAAACTAGCAGATGAAGATATCCAAGGAACACAAAACTTGCTTACTTCTGTAAGTTTTGATTACTTAGACGTTTGGGGAATATCACTAAGTTGTGGAGTAAAGGTGGTTCCAATATATTTACCCCCTACTGCAGGACACAGAGTACAGTAGGACTCCCTTATCCACGGGATCAATATCTGCTGATTCACTTATCCATGGACTGAAAATATTAAAAAGTAAAATCCTAGAAAGACTGTATATGTTTCTAAAGATGAAGTGACCAGAACTGGCCACTAAAGGAAGCCAGAGACCATGCTGTGTATAGCATTCACTATTGAAATGTAGTGTTCGCTATGTGTTTTTTTTAGCATCCATGGGGGAAGGTATGAGACTGGATATGGGAGTCCTATGATATACAAAAAGGACATAGAGTTCATGTGTGTTTTTCATGGGCTCCTACATTCTGACCTTGCCTTAAAGTTGGCATACATGTTACATGAGCTGCAGTGACTTTCATCACAACAAGAATGTCACAGTGGATTGTCAGTAGTGGAAAGTAGCTCCATCTCTCTTACTCGCTCTCTCTTTCTCCTAATGCTTCATTCAGCTTTATAATTGGCCGATATAATTGTGTGCGTCTTGAAGCAGAGTTTTGATTACATTTGGGCTTGTCTGGAAAATTACGAAAACTGTGAAGGAAGAAAACAGCAGATGGTTGATGACTCTGTCTTTGGGTGGGATGATTTAGGAGCCAAAACCCATTCACCACCTGGAACAGCTTTGCACAAGTGCAGCAGGGGTGGAGAGGAAGCAAACTTGTGTTATGTGTGCGTTGGTCCTCAGATGGGCTTTTGGGCTGTATTCCATCCTCAGCCAGATATGGCACAAATATGAATTCCTTGCAATCTTCATTGCTGTCTCAACAGTCCCTGCTTTCCTGCAGACCAGAGGAAGTGTTAAGACAGTGACGGAGGGCACCCACCGCGGTGTCAGAGGTCTGGGTTTAGCTAGAGAAGACAATAAATGAGGCAGTTGTTGACACCAATAGAAAGTGGCTTAGCCATTGGGGAAAATCAGATCCTCACCAAGGTGTGTGTGTGTGGGGGGAACCTTTATGACTGGCTCATCATCTTTCTGAATGAGAATCTAGCCTTCATACCATATGAGGAGGATCTGACCACAGTAAGCAGTAATTTTAATAGTCCACCGACTCCTTGCTTGACTCCTCTGGCAGAGAGTCCTTCATACCATATGAGAAGGATCTGACCACAGTAAGCAGTAATTGCTTGACTCCTTGCTTGACTCCTCTGGCAGAGAGAAGCGGGTTCATGCTGTATATCTGGAGCTGAATGTGTTGGGAGATTAGCTGCAACAGGATAGCCCTAACCTAATGTCAAGAGTTTGCAGAACAAAACCAGGATTTATATGATGATTACTCGTGCACATACGTGGATGTGTCATGTTGGAAATTACAGTTGTCAGTTTAGGCAAAGGGTTTTTTGGAAGGATGGTAGTCCCTTACTCACAGAACCAAATACACTGCTGCATTTTAGCAGTAAGGCAGACTATGGGCAAATGTACAGTTATGCTCACCAACCACTTGGTATTTGGAGACATCTCATTTGTTATGCTAGACCTAGATAACATACACTAGCTAGTATATCATGGGACTCGGTTCGTGGAGCATTCTTAAGTAATTTGGCTTTAATCATTATTAGGCAGTCATTTTGACACATGGGTTTTAGGTCACACAGCCTATCCATTGTTTCCATACTTTTCCCTTCTGGCAACCATTCCCCTCTTTAAGTCATTTTGGCACGTGGGTTTTAGGTCACACAGCCTATCCGTTGTTTCCATATTTTTTCCCTTCTGGCAACCATTCCCCTCTTTGCCTACTACCAGTTTCTTTCTTTTTCACCTGTTTTTCTCATACTGTGTAGGATTTGAAATCCATAGTTTTAAGTATGTGACTGGTGAGCCCTTTGTTTATAATCACTATTTCTGTAATGGTACAACAAGCATGCAATCACCTCCACATATACAGTACAATGCATTGTGGAACAGAGTGGATGACAATATCTCAGGTCATCCAGGCTGAGAACCAGGCAGTCTTCCAGATGCTGGGCTGCCTCAAACCTTGAGATTTAAATTTTGCAAAGCACACCGAGCATCAGCTGAACATCTTCTAACTCACCACAGTTTTAAAAGTGTGTTTTCTTTTTCTCTTTATCATTTGTCAGATTGAATCTGAAACGACAGCATCAGAAGAAACTCTGAACAATGCCACCCTTCGCATTGCTGAATTAGAAAGGAATGTGGAAGTGCTTAGACAGAAGGCTGCTACAAACACAGGGGACATTAGAGAAACTGAAGAAACTATTGCTGCAGTCAATCAAACCACTGCTGACATTAAAAAGGTAAGGGTTTGTATTTGAAATCACTCTGTCTGTTCTTGAGTCTTGGGAAATTAAGTATTCCCTTACCAAAACCTCAAGAACTCTAATGCATCTAAAGAAAGGCCCATTTCAACAGAGACAGCACAGATTTCTTTAAGTGGGAGATCCAAGGTGCTGCTACTAAGAAAGCCTAATATTTTGTGGGTGGTGAGACATGGAAGGGGACCTCTGCTAAAAGATCCCAATTTTTCAACCAGCCATAAATGGAAGATTTTTAAAAAACATATCCTGGCTTCCAACCCTTTAGGGTTTTGTAGGTCAAAATCAGCAACTTAAATTCAGCTCAGAAACAAACTGGAAGTCAGTGGTGCTCGCTTAGGACTGGTGACTGATCATCTTTATAGTACACAGCAGACGGTAGGCTGGTTACTGTATTTTGCTTTCTAAGAGAAGCGCCATCGAGAGTGTCGTCCTAGTCTAACCAATATGACTGAGGCATGAATTACTGCAGCAAAGTCTGCTTTTCCTAAGAAGGAATGCTGGGGGTGCACAAGGCAAGAACCCTCCTGGCCACAGCAGTGACCCGACCTTCCAGAAGCAAGGCTGGAGGTCACCCCAGTCTGTGTTGTTCAGAGGGCATGTAATTCCATCCTGAACCGACTGACTGCTCAAATGCCTGTTAAGCACAAGAAGAGAGAAACAGAAGTTCTTCTCTGAATGTTAAAAGTATATCATGGTCTCTTAAACACTAAAATATATCCAAAACAACTGTCCATGTTAAACAGCTGTATTTTCAGTTTAATCATTTTAGTACTGCAGTCAATAACAGTCTTTTCCGTGATGAATTAGCCAGTTTACAAAGCGAAGCACATTCGCTTACTGTGGCTTGTGCTGTGCTCCATTTTTTTAGATGAAGGTCAACATCAACACTTCTTTCACTTCCAAAAATAGTTTTAACATCCCGTATAGCCCAGCTCTGACTCATTTGAATGGATGGTAACAGCACACACAATAATTTTTCTTTCTCATGGATAAGAGAATGATGTTTTTTAAAAAAAGCTAATTGAATCCTTATTGGACTTTGCTTATGATGGGGTATAGTATAGTCTCTTGTACATAGACACCCACCCACATCCTCCGCACATTGGTCTTAATTAAAAGAAGAATGAAGAACACATTTCATTTATTTAGAGAAATACTACCACCTTCTGTCTATCTTGGAAACTGCAGGTGCTGAATGATGATGTGAATGACAAGTATAAAACGGTAGAAAGCTTAATTGCTCAAAAAACAGGAGAGTCTGCAAATGCTAGGAAGAAAGCAGAAGCACTACAGAGCGAAGCTAGAAAACTGTTGGAGCAAGCGAACAGCAAACTTCAGCTTCTCAGAGGTAAAATCTATTAAGGAAGTTTCCCACATGTGTAAAAAAAAGGGGGGGAGCAGAAGGGAAAAAGATGTATTTTATTATGAGTTATGAACGCTTCTCCATCTTCCAATCCCATGACACATATATGTCTCATCAAATACAGCTATCTCTCTCGTTTGTTCAAAGCCTCTGCCTCTGATACAAGGAGACCTGACCCATTTCCGAATCAGGCTTGACACTGCAGCTTGACTATCCCACAAGCAGTTTATTACTAGAATAAACCAAACGTTTGTGTTCCCTTTCCTTGCAGAATTGGAAAACACCTATGAGAGGAACCAAAGAATCCTAGAAGACAAAGCAAAGCAAGTGGCGCAGTTGGAGGAAACTGTCCGTGGCCTTCTGCAGGCCATCAGCCAAAAGGTGGCCGTTTACAGCACTTGCTAGTTGGAAATTTTAAAAAAAATATTAAAATGTTAAAACAGTTCTTAAACTAATGAGGAATGACAACCTCAGTAGACTAAAGAATGGCTTCACTAGCTGAAAACCAAAGACCTTTTCTCTTCTTGTCTTAAAAATAAAAGAGTACTTTTGTAACAAAGCATACGATTCATTTAACCAATGTTACTTTCATTATCCCAAGTGGTACTTAACCATTTTACTCTCTCAATAAAATTTTAGCACCAAACATGGGATCTTTAAACAACTAATTTCAATTTAGAGGGTTCTCTTTTCTGGTCTTTTAGAAAAAAAACATGGCACCATGTGATGGTGTGATTTTCTTTAAGCAAGAGCTTCTTTGTGTTGCTACTATGACCACTTCAGTGGAATTGTCATTAGACGGGCATGAACCACCAGTTTAGCAGTTCATCCCAGTTCATTTACTGCCTTAACTGGTATTTGGTGGTTTGGCGCCACCCATCTGGCAGGCGCCCACTCAGAAGCAGCGCTTGGAGTGGGGCAGGGACGTTGGAACGCTGTTTTCAAGTGGGCACCCACCAGACACCTGTTGTGGCGGTAAACAAACCAGGCCGAAACAGCAGTTCATGCCCATCTCCAATTGTCATGGTTAATGGTGTACAGCCAGGCAGCTTTAGAGCTCTTCTGACTGTCCTAAGTAGTTTACCCTTTAGTATCAGGCAGAACTCTACATTGTGAGCTGAGATGTTTCATGTTGGAAGCTGCAACATTACCCACAATACTGGTGCGACAGTACAGCATGACAATAGTTTCTTTGTCTGCCAAGTTCATAGGGCAGCACTTTCTTAGCTTGGCATTTACTTCCCAACTACTTTAATTGGGGATTTCCGAATACTAGACAGAGAACATGATTCTTTGTGTTTAATGTTGATCATTACTGTGTCAGGTGACCATTCAGATCCCATGCTATGGCCTTCAAACTCACTTGGAACACTTAGGTTTGATCTTATTTATGTTATTTGAAAAACAAATAGTGCAGGCCCAAGTACATTTTAAAAATGTAATGGGTAAAAATCTATAGTTACTGTTGCATATTTGAACATGTAATGTTAAAAATAAGGGAAGTAATGTGGTTGACAAACTCCCAAACTACCCCAGCTGCAATCTCAAATTGTTTTCTTTGAACATCCACCTTAGCATTGCAAGAACTACCATCTGGCTATTTCAGGATAATCCTTCATAACAGAGGTGCTCCCAAGATGCATCACATGGGACACAGATACTGGTTTGCTTATGTAGAAATTTTTAAAGTTGCTTACAGTATAGTGCTGGAAGCCACTTCCTCTCCATTCAAAGCTTTTCTTTTCCCCCAATCCAGAGCAATCGCAATATACATTAACTTAAATGTCATCTTTTTATTTCCAGGAAACATCTTACTCTTAGTATACCATCTGTTGATATGCATTATCTGCAAGAAACAAACCCATTTTGTCATGGTAGTGCAGGCCGAAGGTAATCGTTAGGAAGGTAATCATTTTAGGAAGGTAATAATTCAATGTAGGTATGCTGAAAACATTTGCCTTCCATCAAGTTTTGCCTTTTTCTTTTTCATACTGGAAACTTCCCATTTCTGTTTCAAACATCTTCCCACAATCCCAAACCAATTCTGATGATTACTGTTCTAGATGTACACTAAGGCATGTCCAGCATGCAGGACAATAATGACTGCAGAAGTACAAACTGCCGCAAAACAGTACAGTTTATAATCATTACAACTCCTACCTTTGCTCAGTGGACGTTTTAAACCAAAGTGATGCTATTTGCGCATCTGAAGTTTTTAATATTCAACTGTATGTATATTTTTAAGTTTAAAAAATCAAGAGGCTTCGCAAATAAATCTGAGCAACACAAGGCTTTTACCCATTGTTCTCCAACACAGTTTTGGATTCCCCAAAATGAATTAATTTCCTTCAACCAAAGTTTTACTAAAACAGAGGTGTTTTCAGTATTTTAAAATGCCTGGATGAAAATGGATGTTCATATAACTCAATCAGTTCAATGTAGTTTAAGTTATCTGCATGGTAATAAGAAAGTATGCCTTAGGATAAAGCTAGTTTTATAATTCAGAATAACTAAAAAAAAAGTTACACTGTGATAAAATCTACTGGGATCCCTTTCGCTAAAATTACAATAGCATTGTGCGAAGGTGACAGCAGCATATATTGCCATGACAGTACAGTATTAGTTCCACAGCAATGACAGAACACCACCACTCTATAATATCAGCTATTATATTTTGCCCAACTACATGATGGAACCTTTAATCCCTCTACAACCTCAAATTGCCGTCTTCTGCAAAACTTAGAATGTACAAACAAGCAGTAATGAAAATACATCTAATATACAGCTGTTGAGAAATTTCTCCTTCTCCAAACTCTTACGGGTTTAAATATTTCATGTTTTCCACAAAAGTTCGTTTAGGGAGTCCTGGAAACATTCAGAAGACTAAGTCAGTTTTCACAGAAAAATGTGCTCTGTACATTTTGGATATCTTTTCATTTTAAAAATTGATAGCTTTCCCAAATGATGCTGCTAGGTTGGCTTCCCTGAAGGCTTCAGATACCGTCTGTTGGGAATGAAAACAAAAGAAATTAATTAGGAAATTAATGAAGGAGAGAACTGTCTGAAATGCGAAAAATGCCATCTGCACATTTAATTAATACAGATAAAGATAAAATGACGAAACAGCTCAAACTAACTTACTGGATGTGCATGGCAGACTCTGGCTACATCTTCACATGATGCTCCATATTCCATTGCAAGAGCAGCTTCATTAATCATTTCTCCAGCACCCTAGAAAAACAAAATAATGCAAGGAATAAATGTAAGCAGACCAGCCCTACTGAGAATTGTAAATAGGGCTATAACACACAACTTTTGTATCGCAAAGGCTGAGTTATGTGATCTCTATAACTTTAGCAAATATACCCGTGGCATAATTGTAATGATCAATTACGTATTAAAGGAGTTTTGGTAAATTATATCTGCATATTAATAAAGCCAATTCTAATGAAAAATGGTCTTTACAGATGGTCTTCATATACACTTATCACATCTGCCACCTAACTCCTAGGTAACACAAAGGGAGGAATGCTCTTCTAAAATGGGATCCATCTCTCATGTTTCTATGGACATGTATTAAAAGTACTGTACTAACAAAACAATCACATTGCTCAATCACCTGTAGACATCTTTATCAATGGATAAATCAGTGCATCTATAAGAAACCATCCTGTAGCTTTATATCACTTCATTTCCTTCTGATATTGAATTAAGTAGGGCAACAGAGCCCTGCTCTTGACCGTTAGAAATCCAACAGAGCTACTACCTGACTTTAAGTCGCTTTCCTTAAGTAGCTGGAAGACACTTTCCTTAAGTAGCTGGAAGTGCAAGAACTTGAAGCTTGTTTTTAAACCACAACATTGAAGCTGTTATTGCTAGAATGCAAAATGTTGTGCCAAAAACTATGTGCTTTGCCAATGCAAACAAACACACCAAATGTTGTGCCAAAAGCTAGATTATGTGCTTTGCCAATGCAAACAAACACACAGATTTTAAAAAGAATTACATTTCACTAGCCAGTGTCATGGCACTGTTAGAATCATAGAGCAGGAGAAATCAAATCTCATAAGTGTGTTGATACTACACTCTTTATGGATCTGAAGACATGGGCTAAAGTGCACAGAAGGTCATGCCAAAGAAAACTTACTGGTCTTCAAGGTACTACAAGTCTTCTTATTATAATTATGATTACGTTTTCTGTTCTACACATCTCACCAGTTTCAGAACATGGATCATGGCACATCACCACAAACACATGAGAGTTTCTGTTACAAAAACCATAGGTCAACACACATACACACACACAAATTCTAAAAGTGATAAAGGTATGGGTTTTTTTTTTAAATGACAGTTTTTATTTCAATTGCTTATGAATGCAATATTTATTGTCACAATCTGATACCAATACTCTTTCCAGAAAAGGGTACACTAAACACCAAAAGATACTTCAGAAAATAGGATATGGGGCAAAATAAAGGATCTGTATAAAAGTAGAGGGTCATATATTTGGAATTCCTAAAAGTCATCACCAAATGTTTAGATACCAATCTTATCTTACAGATTCCTATAATCAGAAACCAAAGCACTGAGGATTCTGCAGAATTAGTACACAAAAGAATAATTATAGGTACTGTACTCACTGCGCCTAGAATGTGAGCTCCCAGCATCCTATCTGTTGATTTGTGACTCAGCATCTTCACCAAGCCATCTGTGTCAGCATTGGTCTTAGCTCTGCTGTTGGCAGCAAAAGGAAATTTGCCAACCTTGTATTCTACCCCCTAAAAAGCAAACAGCGACTTCAGTTACTGCAAATTTCTTTTTACAGCTAGAAAAAAACCCACCACCGTCTGGAAAGCCAGATGTTGCATCATGCTATGCATGATCTATAAAGGCCATGGTCTCTTGGAGGTAATAAACAAGTGGCGACTTGTATGACTGAATGATGTTGCATGGGGAAAAATTAGGGAAAAAAGGAAATTAAAAAAGAATCCCAGATAAAGGAACAATACCAGGAAAAAGATTTTAGCAGAGTCCAAGTTCCCTATCAACTGAGAAATGTGTTTATGGAGAAACATTCAGTCAGGTGCATCCCCTTAGTGAAGGAAAAACTAGACTCTGCAGCTGCTTAGGCAGGAACTCCTGCAACATTACAAAAAAGCAGAGACAGGGGCCTAAATGATGCAGGGAAGACACGTGTCAAAGAAGTCCAGAACTGTCTTAAGCTTTCACAGCCCCTTTCCCCAGGTAACTCTTTCAAAAGGAGAGCTAAGGCTTTTAACTACCAAAAAATTAATAATCTGGAAAGAGAAAACACCAGGAATTAGGTTGCAGAAAGGAAAGATTTAGGTCTACCTGAATCAGATCTGCATTATTTCCTACATAACTGTGGAAAAGCTATGCACTCAAAGTGCAGTTCTGCCTGCCTCACATCTAACTGCATTTTAAAAACTAGTCCAAAAAAGTGTTTCCTTCAGTAGTTTATAGGAACCACTTCTTGAGAACTGGGTGTTACATAACAGCGTATACCCTAAAATTATTTTCTGCACTCAGATTTTATTAGAAAATAACTATTATCATAATACTTCTCAAGGCATATTCCTACGGATGCCCTGCCACAGATAATTTCTACTTCATTTTAGTTGTGCTGGCTGGATAGCTCACTGGTTTAGGTATCTGGATACGGAGCTGGAGATTTCTAAGGCTTGGGGAAGCTGCATAATCCCAGAAGAAGACAATGGTATACAACCTCTCTGTATTATCTCCCAAGGAAAAAAATGGAAAGGGTCACCATAAGTTAGAATTGACTTATCTCCCGAGGGGAAAAAATGGAAAGGGTCACCATAGGTTAGAATTGACTTGACAACACACAATTATTATTATTTTAGTTGTAGGAACACATGTGAACTCAAAAGAACAATTCTCTTAATTCTCAGTTGTAAGAGCATCAATTGATCTAATGTCATGGTAGAATCATAGTACAGTGGTGCCTTGCTTAGCGATTGCTCCGTTTAGCAGAGGGGAAAAAATGGAAAGGGTCACCATAGGTTAGAATTGACTTGACAACACACAATTATTATTATTTTAGTTGTAGGAACACATGTGAACTCAAAAGAACAATTCTCTTAATTCTCAGTTGTAAGAGCATCAATTGATCTAATGTCATGGTAGAATCATAGTACAGTGGTGCCTTGCTTAGCGATTGCTCCGTTTAGCAACGAAATCGCTTAGTGATACATTTTTTGCAATCGCAAAAGCGATCGCTTTGTGATGTTCCCTATGGGGTATTTTCGCTTTGCAATGATCGGTTCCCTGCGATCATCGCAAAGCAACCCTTTTCGCAGAGCTGATCGGCAGTTTCAAAATGGCCGCTGGGAAAAAAACATGGCCGCCCGCTGTTTTCTGGGACGGATTCCTCGCTTTAGAGGCAGCAAAAATGGCAGCGCTATGGAGGATCTTCGCTGAATGGTGAGTTTTAAGCCCATAGGAACGCATTAATTGTGTTTTAATACATTTCTATGGGCTTTTTATTTTCGCATTGCGACGTTTTCGTTTAGCAGCGATTTTTGCGGAACAAATTAACGTCACAATGCGAGGCACTACTGTACTGAACTTTTATTTAGCTCATTTAATTTAGTTGTTATGCTGAAACTACTGTGCTCATATTTTAGATCACTGACTCCAGACCAAATCAGTCTCAAGCAAACACATCACACATTTCTCCTGTGTCAGAGTTAATACAAAATGAGAGCCAGGCTTCAGTGAAAAGGAGCAGGCAACACGGTGTCAACAAGATGCATCTGTCCCTTCATGGTGTACCTATGGCTGGTACACCAAACAATATCAGCTCTAACTTTCAACAGGGTTTGACTTCTGAAGAAGTAATTATCTTTTAATGAAATCTACCAGACCTCTTCCGTATCTTTCCCAATGTTTTAAAGAAATCACACCCCTTCTGTAGCCTATTAAAATGGCTAAGGAAATCCCCTTTATTTCAAAGGTTGGCTTTGAACTGCTACTGTGAGTTCCATTACTATGCGCCTTTGGGGCAAACTAAATTTGCTCTAAATCATGAAATAAAGTTATACAGCTCTGCTGAGAGCAAAAGGAAAGGAACAAGAGATACCTCCTCTTTCAACTGTTCTTCAGATTTGCCAATCCAGGCGACTTCAGGGTGTGTATAAATTACTGAGGGCACACAGTTGTAATCAATATGAACGGCACCTCCAGCTATTCCCTCAACACACAGAATGCCTTCGTCTTCAGCCTTGTGAGCAAGCATTGGCCCAGCAACAACATCACCAATAGCATAGATACTGTCACAGAAACGAAAGCATATTTACTATTTCATACAGTTACGAATATACATAGCAAGCCAGGAAAAAAGGGAATGATACCCCAAGAATTAGTTGGTATTTATAACCTTTCTTAAAACTTAAGTAAATTTGAATTAAAAGATTTAGAGCTGTAATCCTTTTTTCAATGCAGGGTCAATTGAATACAATTTTTTTAAAAAAACATCATGTCAGCTGACCAAATTGTAATACTTTTAATGACCCAGCAAGGCTATATGGTTATTTCACTTACTTTGGAACTTTGGTTTGGAATCTGTTGTTGATTGGGATTCTGCCTTTTTTATCCAATTCAATGCCAACTTCTTCAAGACCAATATTCTTAGTGAAAGGCCTCCGGCCAATACAAACAAGAAGTACATCACAAGTAATCACCTCTGCCTTGCCACCAGCAGCAGCTTCAATCCTGAAGGAAAACACAAAGGAAATCGTATTGTATACCCAAGTGACTGGACTGCTTCACCTACTTATACCAATGCTTAAATGGTCTACTTAAAAGAAGGCATATTACAATAATGTGCATGCAAGGCATAATAATATGTCTAGAAGGCATATTCTATTCAGCTAATGATGGCTTCAGCACAAAACTAATATATGAATAATGGATGTTTGGGTTGTCCATCCAGATGGCCCTTTAAATAGCTGCAACCAAGTCCTCTGCTTCTTTTCAGCACTGCCACACAGATCAAGCACAGTCTACATCCATGTGTCGGTTTCCCATTCACATGTATCTCAAAGGATAGAGGCAAAGAGGGAATGGGGTATACTGGGCCTGCAGGCTCTGCTTACCCAAATCACACCCAAACTTTAAGTGCTGGTGGGGTGGGGTGGGGTGCTCTTTGTGCTCCATGTAACAGAGAAGTGTAGTGCATGTGATTTTAATTACCACCTTCATTCCAATAACGAACGGCTATGCAGTGGATGCGCAACCTAATTAACATTTACAGTACTTCAAATTGTTCAGAAGTGCCAATCAATGCCTTTTACATTATATTTGCATAAATATAAGCAGCAGCTGGTGGGCAGTAGGTATGGCTTCCAAAATTAAAAAATTCTCCACATGTATGAGAATGTCTCTGATGACAAAAGCAAGATGAGGAGGACTCTTCAGGGCTTTATTTTAAAAAAATCAAATGAATATATTTAATTCAACAATACATAAATTATACTGAGGCATTATTGTCTCATTAAAATATGTTGGTTAAGCTCTGTTGTAGTCCATGAAAGCTTATGCCAAATTAAACTAGTTAGTCCTTATGGTGCCTCCCCAAGAATAATCCCTGGAATCTCTTTTTTTTCTTTCTGTACACACTGATTTGTAGTCTCTTGCAAAATCCAAATTAGTCACTTATTCATTTTAGGACCGGGGGCGGGAGGAATGTAATATATTTGAGAGAAATGTTCACGATATTTGCACTATACTTTTATCTCCAGGTAGAGAAGTTTAACACCTTGTTGTTTTCAGTGTGGAAACTACAGCTGTATTCAGGCACATGAAAATCGGCAGGGCTTGAAGTACAGCAGGGACAGGGTGTGTGTGTGTAAGTGATATTCCCCCATCCACATGCCAACTGGACATCAATAAGGGCTTTTCAGGAGTCTGAAGCAGCACTTGTAAAGAACATTCTGATGAGCACACTTACAGGACTGCCATGCTGATCAGCTCTGATGAGGGCAAGGCACCCAGTGACAGAAATCCAGCAGAACATGCTTAGAAGTACTACTGCAAACCATTGCTCTAAGCCTGCAAAAGTCCCCCTGGCTGCTGGGTGGGGTGGAGACAGGTAGTGAGACTCATGCACATCTTTTCCCATCCCACGACACACTTTTCAAGTCTCACCCAGCTTGCTGCTATAATGCCAGAATATGACTACTGTTTCTGTGCTTAAAGCAGAATGCTTTTAGACACAGCCTCTTGGGAGATGGAAATATATTGCAAATATTCTGAGCATCACTGTCAAACATATTACGTTCTTCCCCAGTCCTAAATCTGAATAGTGACTATTCAGATTTTATTTTAAAAAGCCAAACTATTTATATAAGAACAACAAAGAGGCTTGTTTCCTTTGGCATAACCTTTCATGGACTGCAATCCACTTCTTCAGATGCAACAAGAAGTTTTATTTGGCATGAGATTTCACAGACCTGAGATACACCTAAAGAAGTGAGCTGAGGTCCACAATCGCTTAAGGCAAGCCAGAGATTGCTGCAACTATTTGGTTTACACTTATCCAAGGAGGACACCTCCTTGTGCAAGCTCCAGGGAAGCCTCACCGCTTGTGCAATGAAGTGAGGCATGCACAGAATGAAGGAACTGGGAAGTGGCAATAGTTTTTTCAGATGTCACATGACTCTTTCTTGCTTCCATTGCCACAGGCTAACGTGGCTACCCTGCTGGCTATTACTTTTTCATGTATTTTGTGCCCTCAATACTTACGAAACATCGATCTTTCCATCTGGGTTTCTTGTAGCACCAGTAACTTTGGTATTCAGTTTAAATTTAAGACCTTGCTTCTGAAGAATACGTTGGAAATTCTTGGAAATCTCCATATCAATGCCCAATCCACCGACGTGGCCCAAGAACTCCACAGCTGTCACATCTGCACCTAGACGCTGCCACACAGAACCCTGCAACCAACACAGAAGCCAAGATTTTAGATACAGGTTTTCAGGAAGAAAAAGGGTGGGGTAGAGCTAACCTTATAGTTCCTTTGTATTGGGTTGGTTACATAATTGTCAGATTAACAACAATGCCTGACTACAGAACAATACATTCTACCAGGTATCTTTAAACTGAGTTCGTAAATCACTAGTTTTGTATTGCATGATCATGTCAATTTTATTCATCAGTTGAGTTCTCAAGCTAAAAGCCTGAGAAACAGTGAACACAGACCACAATCATCTCAGGTTCTTAAACATGAGTGTGAACCAAGAGGGAAAGACAGCCTCCTTACTTGCTAGCATATATTTTCTGTTTTATGAGCAAGGTATTAATGCCTCCCCAAGAATAATCCCTGGAATATTAAGCGTGATAAATCAACTGTTCACAAAGACATTACCTTTAAACTGTTGATAGGCAAGGTATCTACACTGAAAATGGGTTCTCAAAAGCCTCCATCCCAAAGACCTCCAGAAAGAGGAAATGTAATAGCTTCCATCTTCCAAATAAACCCACTATTCTCTATTACTGTACTGTCATTGCTGAATCTGCCAGCAAAGATCTACACCACAAACAGCTTCTACCACAGTGCAGGAGGAGCTAAACATTCTTTAGCACTGCATACTTCAAATACATTTTTTTAAAAAAACAACAATGGCCTGTGGACCCATCTTCTTTTCCATTCAACTCCTTATCTCTGCTACCTCCTCTCTCACATAGTTCTCCTGGGTCTGCTACTGCTCTGTGTCCTGTTTGCCATTCAGAGAATACTTACCAATTCGACACCAATGACTCCAGCACCAATTACCACCATTTTTTCAGGGACTTGTTTCAAAGACAATGCCCCAGTAGATGATACAATTGTATCCTCGTCAATCTAAACAAATTTTTAAAAAGAGAGCAACAGAATTTTCCATTTTACATGAAAATCAGTTGTATACATATAGTGCATATAAAACACCACCAGTTTCCTCAGCTAACATCTAACAGCGACCACACAGTAACATAATTTTTGTACTCACTGCACTTTATGATATCTGATTTGTGCCCTCATATGTATAGATATTGTATTATTTTGTTATGGTGCTGCTTGTTTATTTGTTGTAATCCACCCAGAGTGGCCCTGGGTGCCAGATGGTATAATATATAAACACATAAATAATAATTTTTTTAGTATTACTTGATAAAGTACTACTTTATGAACATATATGTGGTGAGGTGTGAAGCTAGAAAATTTCAGAGTCCAGTCATACCGTAATTCCTGGAAAAGGTGTTACTTCGGAGCCAGTAGCTATGATCATGTTCTTTGTATTAATAACCTGAGAGCTGCCATCTTCTTTCGTTGCTGTGACCTGGTTTTTACCAGTTATTTTTCCAAAGCCAGAGACATGTGTCACCTTCAAAAATAAATACATATATACATAAATAGTAATACTCTTCTTAATACAAATGAATCAAGACACATTTTGGTGTGTCTTCAGTCATATCATTAACAACAATACTGTCCTTTACACTTTTTAAAAGGAATGTTGGTACACAACAGACAAAGGCAGATGGAGCAGAGACTGCCATGGACACATGAGTTCGGGGATAGTAAACATCTGACCGTCTCTGTCTTAAAGGTTAGAGAATATTTAGGTGTCAGAGAATCATAACTCAGAGGTCCTCTGAGGTTTATACAGTCCCTAACCATCAAGACAGGGCACAGAAAATTACAAGCAATTAATGCAGGAGATGATAAAATCTTTTCTTACAATTAAATGAATTAAGTTAAAGAAAAGCATATTCAAACATAAACAACAACAGAAGAGAACATTAACTCAGTAAGTTAAATTAAGCGAAAGCATTAAAAAGCTGGAAAAGCAGCCTTTCTGCCCTTTCCCCTAGCAGCCCAAGAGAAGAATGTAGGCCTTACACAGCAAGCCACAGTCCAAAGGGACCCTCAGCCCTCCCAGGATCACCCACCCTTAAATCAAAGGGATACAAGCTGTCAACAACGGGCAAGGAAGAGAGCTGCTTTGTCAATGGGCCAAAACGTACCTTGTTCTGTTTAAACAAGTGAGCAATCCCACCTGTTAAGGCCTTTACTGCGCCACTCTTTTGTTCCATCATCTTCTCTAAATTTAGCCGGAGTCCTGTAACTATTTAACACAAGTTTTTACTTTTGTTTCTGTTTTGAGTGCTTTGGACTCTTTAGCACTCCACTAGATGCTACAGAAAATTGACTGAAACCTTTTCTTAATTCAAAGCATCTAACAAATTAAAACACTGAAGAGACCTAATGCATCTTTACTGCCCTGCATAGCTGTAACACACAATATTATGGCTACCAAATATATACTTGTCCATTCTTGTGAAACCACTTAATCTTTTCAGAGATGGGGTAGAGACGGGACAGAACCCAGTTGCTATAGCTCCCTCCCTACAGTTCTTTGCAAGGCACCAACATTTCAAAGACTAAGGGGCTGTTAAGCTCTTCCTGTTCATCAGGGCTTTTGGTATGCTATGTATTTTTATGCTCTTGGTCTTGTTTTAATCATCATTTTTATTTTCTGTTTTGTAATTTTGTACACTTAGTGGTTTCAATTTATTGTTTTACTCTTATTTTTAATCCTTTGTCCATTTTGAAGCTATATAAGACACAGTACAGATATCTTAAATAAACAATATAATTAGGGCTATATAGCCATCAATCAATTCACCACATATCAATCTATTATAAAGGCCCTGTAAATTAATGGGGCAGCAGATTTTATAGTATTGGTTTTTTTCATATGTACAGTGGTGCCTCGCATAACGTTTGCTTCGTTTAATGTTTTTTTCGCTTAACGTTTATTTTTTCAGAGTCAGATTGTGCTTCGTATAACGTTTTTCCCTATGGGCGATTTTCGCATAGCGATTTTGGGACCATGCTTCGCTTAACGTTTTTGGTTTTAGGTCCCCTGCTTCACTTAACGATGTTTTTTTTCCCAATTAAAAAAGTGTCTTAGAAGGGTCAAAAACGGTTCTAAATGCTTGGATTCGTTAGAGGACCCCTTAAGTCATGTGCAAACCTGATTTGGCTTTGATCTGACTTTTCGTTAATTTTTTGTGAATTTTTTTTTTTGGCCCATAGGAACCAATGGACCTGTCAAAATCTGACAGCTCCATGCTTTCCTATGGGGGAGAAAACAATTTACAAAAAATTAACGAAAGTTCAGATCAAAGCCAAATCAGGTTTGCACATGACTTAAGGGGTCCTCTAACGAATCCAAGCATTTAGAACCGTTTTTGACCCTTCTAAGACACTTTTTTAATTGAAAAAAAATCGTTAAGTGAAGCAGGGGACCTAAAATCGCATTCGTTATGCGAAGCATGGTCCCAAACTTCGCTAAGCGAAAATCGCCCATAGGAAACATCGTTATACGGTGCATATTATTTTCTAAAAAAACACATCGTTAAGCGAGGCACCACTGTAATTAGAAGTCACTGGATGAACAGGAGGTGAAACATAGTGACACCTAGCTGGCCTGGAGAAAAATGAGACACCTTTAGCAGTAAAGCCTGATCAATATAGGAAGTAGAATGAATAGAAGTAATGTTGTAGTCATATAGTAGATTCATATAGTAAGGAGTAGAAACAGTAATATATTCATGATTCATTAGAAAATAATCATAAATGGACTTTTAAGAAGAATGAATACAATCATATGCTTAAGCCATTCCTAACTGAAGAGTGGTAAGATGGTACTCTTAGTCATACTGCAGCTGCCTTTCACCCCAAAGACATGGAGAAGAAGTTGTAAGACTTTGGAGCACTATAGATATAGTAACCTTGTTAGCGGAAGCAGTTCTGTTCCCTTTCCTCACTGGTGAGTCCACCCAATGAGCTCCTGTCACATTAGTCTCCCCCCCCTTTCAACCATCAAGATTTTGGTGTGGACAGCATGGCCTCTACAGATAAAAATCTTATGTGTGAGGTGTATCTTTGAAATTTGTTTTTACAGCTTAAAACTGTATGTCTGTTTTATCAATATATGAAAAGGAGAAAGGTAATTGGACAACTAAAGAATCAATTTCTAATTTGCTAACAGTGGTGATTATTGATTATTTCTAGAAATTGGAAAACAGCTTATAGTTTCCAGTTAAGTGATTGGTATAGGGAAATTTGGGATATAGTTATCAATGAAAAGATTACATGTAGCATAAAACTTAAGGGGGGGAGTAACAGGAAGAAATGAATTTATAGATATATGGGGAGAACATCAATTTTGTATTAACAAGGGGGAAGGAGCAAAGTCCATTGCAATAATCAATAAAATTTTGGAAAGGAGATGAGGCTTCATAAGGGTAAATGGTATAGGTTATGCTACTCCTGAATCATCCCTATTTGGGGGGGAGGGACACTCTGCACTTAGATATTTGTTCATTAAGATTGTTTTCTTTTTTTGCTTTTTTAAAATTTTCTGGTTTTTATATAAAATAAAACATTATTTTTAAAGGTTTGTGAACATAAACATCTATATTCACAAAGCCCATATTTACCTCAGCCATATCTGGTTCATGTGAGGTTCAGCTCAGTTTTTAAACTTCTGACTTAAATTATACAACTTGGAATTTATAATAGTTCATAAAACAAGTTTATTTCAATATAATGACCAAGTCATCAAAATTTGCCAGACCTGGTAAGTATACAAATAAAAACTAACAACCAGACAGGATCTTAAATCTCTTATTCTATGCATAATTACTCTTGAAGTTTATGGTTATTGCTTATTTGTTCTATCATTCAGCATTGGCAGGTATTTGTTATCACTTTAAATGTATGAAGAGTAGATAACATGTATTTAGGGATTCATGCTGTCTTACAAAGCAAGAACTATACAGCCCAGGATCTCAATCCCATAAACTCCAGGCTTTGGGCCTTCTTAACAGAACCTACATATATGAAGTGTCAACAGATATCCTGCAAACTCACCTTCAATTCCTCTGCTAGCAAAGTCTTTTCCATGGGCCAAATGATATAGGTGGGAATTGTTTAGCAAGGCCTATCGCATAAAAACAGCATTAAAATAAACATACAATCTACACAGAGAATATTATATGAAATGTAAGTCCAGTGCTAAGTCTCAGCTAGAGCACATCTGCTGAAATTAATGGAACTTTTATTACTTGAAACTAACAAGTTCGTTATTTTAGTGATTCTAATCTAGTTGGAGCCACACTGGACTCAGTCCCGTGCTTTCAACATCACTACTAGTTATTATACAATCAAAACAAAGCAATTTAAGACCAGCTATCAATATAGGCAAGACAGAGAAACTTCAGCATTTAACACCTGCAATACCATGCTTCAGCAACTAACTATTCGGTAGTTGCACACAGTTAGTGTAGGGCTTTAAAATATAGACCTTATTCAGTTGCCAGCAAATCCTGTATTCCTACAATTGGTAGAGAGAAGTGTTACATCCCCACCCCTCTTCTTCCAGTTTTGGGTCTCCTGAATTCGGACCCCAGAAAATCAGCATCTCAGCTCTTGTGGAGAGTCCCCACAACGAGTGGGGCTCTTCAAACTCACTGCTGTCCACAGACAGGAGACTGATGAAACCAGAAGACAAAGGGGGATATACACAATTTGCTAATGACTGAACAGGGCTACAGTGTTATCACCATATCCCACCTTCGAGTGGAGAGACTGTGTGACTGGAATTCAAAAATGCTTTAGGCCATTTGAACACACTGGCAAGCTTCAAGACTAGCAATGTAACTTGCAGCATTCAGTATCTATGCTATTAAGCTGAATCCTATTTCATATTCCTTTTGAAATGACAGAAATTATTTGTTATGCTCCTGATATAAATTTTATTTTAGTCTGTTCTGATCACACCTGATTCTTATCAACCCCATGACACTAAAACATAACTACAGTTCTATAATAACTGAAATGGAAGGTTGGAAATCCTCCAGAATTAAAATCCTCCTGAATCTTCCACAGCAAATACTACTGCATGTGTACTGGAAACACAGGTTAAACATAGAAGCAGGAGAGGAAAATCTGTTGGTCCATTCAGTGGAATTAAAAGGTTAACTTTGAGTGATTTTCAGAGGGACAACTGTATGGAGAATTGGTAGACCAGAATATGAAGCACTGCCTGTAGTTGCAAGTGCTTTAACTTTCTTGTACTAAATAGGTCACAGTCCCATTCAAGGATGAAAATGTTTCTATTATACCTATTACATGTTTATCTGGCCCCTTCTCCAAAGGCTTTAGGATGGTGTACATGGTTAATCCTCACAACCCTGCAATGTAGGTTAGGCCGATAGCTTGCAGTCTTGCTCAAGGTGACCTGGTGAGTTTCTTCACTGTGCAATAATTTAAGTCTAGATTTCAATTCATCAAACTGCTGACACATAAAGGACTCCTGAGCTACTGTGTCTGATTTCTCTCATGCTAACTTCAACAACTGTTGTTCCAACATCAACAGATAATCCTGTGTAAAAACTAAGATGCATGCATGTTTCATAATTGGTACAGATGCAGAACACACTTTGCAAACCAAACTTCAAACTTACTTTAGAAGGTATGCATCCAACATTCAAACAGGTTCCACCAAGTGTTTCATTTTTCTCCACACAGACAGTCTAAGAATTAAAAGAAAAGAAATTATTCCAAGTAATTTTAGTCAAGGTCTCTCCATCCAAAGGTCAAATGTGCCACAGAATGGTTCAACAGTTATGGTGCCCAACATTCAGTCCTGAGTTTTGAGAATACACTTCAGGAGCATTTGCTAACTGCCAAAGTTCCATTTCCAGCTTAGCCATTGCCAAGTATTTAGTGCCACGAGGAGCACCTTATGTGTGATGCCAAGAACAAATGTTAGGGAAGTGGTTTATCATATGAAAGAAGCCACAGCTATCAGTTTATGATCTGGCACTCATGTACTGTATGGTTCCTCTGGACCAGGCCAATTTTAAAGCAGTGAATAATTTGTCAGAACTATTCTACAGAAACACAGTTCTCCCTCAACATCTGGTCAAAATACTGTCATTGTGTACCTACGTAATAGAAGCCGCACCATTAAGAGAGCAATACAGGATTTGGTTCCAGGAGCGTGGGCCTTGGACTATCTGGGTAAAATACTCAGAGCGCTCAGTTGAGGTTCCAAGCTCAAATGAGGAGATTTAATCCCTCAGGAACCACTCCTGGCCCCTTCCCATCTACCACAGACATCTCTGTAAAAGCTCTCTCTGCACAAGCTCAAAACCAGGCAATATGTTGGAGGTATGGCAGCAAGTGGAAAGAGTATGCAGATCCGCTAGATGAGGGATAGGCAACTTTAAAGGTCCAAGTCTACCCCAGGCTAAAATAGACCCCAGAAAGGAGGGGCAAAGGGGGAAATGAAAGCTAGAAGTGGCTAGAAGTCTACTTCCAGTTTCATTGTTGATGCTTAGAGCAGCGGAACAAGTAGCACAGGGCTTTAATGCAAAACCACCACTGCTTGTTCTGTGGCACTAACTTACCTCCCCTATAACCTTTTTGTGGCAAAAGGCATCTGGGACAGGTCCAGGGACCATAAATGTGTAGCCACAATCTGCCCCTGGGGTACAATTTATCACCCACAGCCTTCCCAGCCCCCACATCAACCCTAACATAGGCAAACATTCAGACAAGCTGCTAAGATGATCTGGATGAATTCTTGACTTCTGTTGCCAATGGGGATTTTTCTTTCCCCTTCCACAAATCAGTGAAGCCTCTCTTCCCTTTTCCAGCAAGGTAAACGCAAGAACAAAATGCATATCCGTTATTACTTTTATTCTGTCAACAAGAGCCTAGCAGGGCTTTGGATAGCTTTGGGACTCTGATATCTGAGCATTCTATTGCAGGGTCCTTAGCTTCAGCACTGCTCAATAAATGACAGAATTCTACAAACAGGCTTATTTCTCAAATAATGAGCATTCTAACAATCTGTATTACCTTTGTCACTGGACATCCAGCATATTTAGCCTCCTTTTACCTCTCTCTACCACACTTACACTTTATATGTGCAACAGCAAGTTTGTCAAATGAAAAGTCCCTTTTTCCTGGTGTCTGGAACAGCTTCTGCACTAAAAATAAAGTTTCTAAGATTCTTCTGGCCAACCTATACTCTGTTGCCTCTAACTCTTTGCATGATTATAAGGATTCCTGCAACATTCTTGGATTTATCTCACCATATCTGCTCACCTTAAAGCCAAGCTGAGCAGCTTTGATAGCAGCAACATAGCCCCCGGGGCCAGAGCCAATGACTGTAATGTCAGCATCAACTGAGAGAAAGAGACAAATGCAATTTTTATAAAACAGTAGGAAAAAGTGTTGGGAAATATTTTACCTTTTAACACTTGCTGTATTTAATTACTTTATTTCACAAATCAACTAAAAAAAGCCCATCCAATTTTTTTTAAATAAATAAGCAATTACTCCTTCAGTGTTGCATATCATTGGGCAAAATTCTCTTGTGTAAATTTATGTTGGCGGAAGCCAGATGGTATCATCTAGCACTGATAAAATTTCATTTAAATTAATGGAAAGCTTCCTATTCCCCTTTCTGGTTCCAAGACTCCCTTCCCTGGAGAAGCCTTTCAGAGCTTCAGGATGAGGGAAAGCCTCAAAAATTGCCACCAGATCAGGATCTGTGTGCTGAGCATACATATGCAACTCTAACAATGTTTTAGTATATAGCATTTTAGTAACACTGTTATGTCATACTGTAACAATGTATCATACTGCTAGAAATGGTAATACTATAACTAAAAATATCTAAATATGCAATCCAACTTCAGAGTTTTAAATTACTTCAGATTATGAGTTATTTACCTTGGTCAGCATATGTTCTTAAGGGCACTGCAGAAATGCTCTGTAAACCATGTTGGATCCGACCAAAATGGCTTCTCTAGTTTAAAAGTAAGAGAAATGAGCAAATTTAAATCCACTTGTAAGGATCCAACATTCTAGTCAAAACAAAATATTGACTCATAAGTCAAAGAAAGTGTTCCTTTTTTTCCTCATTAAAATAACTTCACACTTTTCCATTTTAAGGTATATTTTTCCCAATGTAAGAAAAATTCTTCCACTCAGTAGGTCTGTATCTTCCTCAAATCTCCAATGTCTATCTTTTTAATGATACTCTGAACCAACAAGGGTGGATTAGTGCATATTTTGTAAACATTCTACCTCACATGTAGGATTTCAGTACACTTCAATTAATACACAGTATTAAATGTTAATTGAGTCAGAAAAATAGAAGTTGCATAACTTCAATTGGAGTCCTTCTGATGAGTTGCATTTTTGAAATTTGTTTTCTAGCTAAGATAGAAAATGGCAAAACCTATGCACAGGTAAACGCAGAAACCAAAACTTCCTCACTTTCATTAATGAAATCCTAGGCCTCTATAATGTCTGGAACACAGCACAGCGCACTTCTGAGCAACAAATAACAGATGTGCTTTACTCCAGAATATACAATTCACAAATCTTTTGAACTTTCAGGAAATCAGAAAGCCAGGCTCAGAGACAGATGACCTGGAAAGAAATAAGTCATGTATGCAAGACTTGGCTATGTTAGTCAGAATGTATTTCTGTCTGCAGGTCCTATACTGTACAGCTGTCTGTTCTGTAGCTTGAAGACTGAGGTGAAATCATTCCAACATTGGGGAAGGGTCTTGCGTATGTACTGGAGCAGGCATCTGGTCTCACAGCAGCACTACCCATGGCTGGGCTCTCTGTTTCCCGATTTGGCACGGCTTCCTGCCTATGACAGGCTTTGGGACAACATGTCACCATGGTGGGCAGCTTCACCTGTTGAACAGCTGCCCCCGCCTAGCCATCAGAAATGAAAGCTACAGGACAAGAAAGAACAACAAGGCGTCCTTGAAAGACTTAACAGCTTGATTACCGCAGGCGCCTTCATGGACTAAAACACTGGTTCTTAACCTTTGTTACTGCGGGCGCCTTCATGGACTAAGACACTGGTTCTTAACCTTGAGTTACTCAGGAGTTTTGGACTGCAACTCCCAGAAGCCTTCACCACCAACTGTGCTGGCTGGGGTTTCTGGGAGTTGCAGTTCAAAAACACCTGAGTAACCCAAGGTTAAGAACCACTGGACTAAGAGACCATTGAACGGCGCAGGCCAAAGCCCGGGAAGGCACCCATTAGCCTTCCAGGTGCCATCGGACTCTTCGGCAGACCAGCACAAGTCAACCCTTCGGATACGGAGCAGGAGGAAGCCTGTGGAGCACCAATCCTCTCGTCCGTTCCCACCGGAACGGAGAGGCGGAGTCCCGTCCCCCCCCCCCAAGCAGGGGCAACCTGCGACGGCCCACAAGTCAACCCTTCGGATACGGAGCAGGAGGAAGCCTGTGGAGCACCAATCCTCTCGTCCGTTCCCACCGGAACGGAGAGGCGGAGTCCCCCACCCCCAAGCAGGGGCAACCTGCGACGGCCCAAGGTCGGCGCACGGGCCTCCCTGCCTCGCTGGCTCCGCTCCGGCCAGCCAAGATGGGTGCGCCCCGTCCCGCTGTCCCCGGACAGGAGCCAGAGGCCCGCAGCTGGGCCCGGGGGTTCTCGTCCCCGCTTCCCTCCGCCACGGGTTGAGTGTCCTGTTACCTGGGCGAGAGCGCAATAGACTCGGCTGCAGCTCTGCATGTCGGCAGCTATCGGGGTCTCGCCGTGGCCGCTCCGACCTCGCCGCTCCGGACCCTTTCGCCCGGTTCACGCGTCCGGCGAGCCTCCAAGGCAGGAGCACCACCCGCCAAGGACGCCGAGGACCCGCGCAGGCGCAGGAGAGGGGAGGCGAGGCGAAGCGGCTCTCGAGCGGAACCGAGCGCCAGGCTCGTTCTCGCTGGCGGAGGCGCCGCACCTCCGGGACGTTCCGCCGAGCCGGGGGAGAGGGGACTCCTCCTGCGCCTGGGATAGCGGATGCCAAGCACCCTTTGAGATCCGGAGAGGTTTTTTTGGGTGTGTGTGTGTGGTTGCACTAATCCCTTTGCCCTTTCGGGCTAGAGGGGCTCTCTTGCGACGCTCAGTTTAAGGAGTTGGGAAGGAAACAGAAGTGGAACCCGAATCAAAAATGGATCCACTTGATTTAAGGAAGGATGCCACCCCTACAACTGTCACGGATCAGACGCGTGGATCCATGGCACAAAATCTAGTGATTTTTTTTTTACACGGGTTCCACCTGAATCCACCATGAAATCGTAGGTCATACTGAGCAAATGTATCTAGAAATCTGTATGTCACTGTGTTGTTGTGGCATAGAAAAATAGATCCGAGACACAGGTTGTCAAGGAAGGGTGTCATTTTTCCCCAGGTACCCACCCTTAACCGTCGTCATATTATAAATAAAACTAGTAGCCACAGTTTGAACCATAATACTAATGCTCTTAAGACCCAAAAATATGGATCTGAAGGATGGATCCTGTACTTCACGTGGCATGACCAAAGGGGGGGAGGGAAGGGCCCATATGATTTTCTAGATTGGAAGCACACAAACCACCATGCAAATATCACATCCAATCCCATTGTTTGAAGCCATACAGTCATGGCCAAAATATTGGCACCCTTGCAATTCTGTCAGAAAATGCAACCCTTCTCTCAGAAAATTTCTACATAACAAAAAAACAGCCAGAACGGATTAATTGGTTTTCAGTCCATTCCTATGGGAAATTTTGCTTCAACTTAAGAACGTTTCAACTTAAGAACACCATTCCAAAATGGATTAAGTTCTTAAGTAGAGGTTCCACTGTAGTGTCTATGGACGGAAAAGAGCAGATACGGATTAAATGGTTTTCAATGCATTCCTGTGGGAAATGCAGATTCAACATAAGAACTTTTCAACTTGAGAACCACCTTCCAATACGGATTAAGTTCTTAAGTAGAGACCCCACTGTATAATACTAATGCTCTAAGACCCAAAAATATGGATCTGAAGGATGGATCCTGTACTTCACGTGGCATGACCAAAGGGGGGGAGGGAAGGGCCCATATGATTTTCTAGATTGGAAGCACACAAACCACCATGCAAATATCACATCCAATCCCATTGTTTGAAGCCATACAGTCATGGCCAAAATATTGGCACCCTTGCAATTCTGTCAGAAAATGCAACCCTTCTCTCAGAAAATTTTTGCAGTTCCAAATGTTTTGGTACTCACATGTTCATTCCTTTGGTTTGCGTTGGTACAACAAAAAACAAGAAAAGTCAAATCTGATACATTCCACACAGAAACCCAAAAATGCACTGACCAAAATTATTGGCACCCTTAACTTAATATTTGATAGCACCTCGTTTGGAAAAAATAGCTGAAATCAATTGCTCCCTGTAATTATGAACTGAGTTTCTTACACCTCTCTACTGGAATTTTGGACCACTCTTCTTTTGCAAACTGCTCCAGGGCCTTCAGATTTGAAGGATGCCTTCTCCCAACTGCGGTTTTGAGATCTCTCCACAGGTGTTCTATGGGATTCAGATCTGGATTCATTGCTGGCCATTTCAGAACTCTCCAGCGCTTTGTTTATAGTGCTTTTTGAAGTGTTTTTTGAAGTGTTTTGAGTGCTTTTTGAAGTGTTGTGGTTTTTTTGGGGTCATTGTCCTGCTGGAAGACCCATGATCTCTAGTGGAGACGTAGCTTTCTGACACTGGCCACTATGTTGTGCCCCAGAATTCTTGGATAATCATCAGATTTCATGATGCTGTTCACACAGTCAAGGCACCCAGTGTCAGAAGCAGCAAAGCAACCACAAAACATCTAATAATCAGATTTCATGATGCGGTTCGCACAGTCAAGGCACCCAGTGTCAGAAGCAACAAAGCAACCACAAAACATCTTTGAACCTCGACCATGTTTGACTGTAGGCAGTGTTCTTCTCTTTGAATGCTTCTTTTTCTGTAAACAGTGCCATGATGTCCATTACAAAAAAAACTCTACTTTTGTCTCATCTATCCACAGTACATTTTCCCAGAAGAATTGTGGTTTTGTCACATAAGTTTTGGCATACTCCAGTCTTGCTTTTTTATGCCTTTGTGTCAGCAGTAGTGTCCTCCTGGATCTCCTACCATAGCATCCCTTTTCATTCAGATGGTGACGGATAGTGCAAGCTGACACTTGTACCCTGTGTCTGCAGATCAGCTTGAATTAATCTGGGTTCTGTATACACCATTCAAACAACCATTCGTTGTAATTTTTCAGGAGTTTTGCTCTTCCGTCCATGTCCAGGGAGGTTAGCTACAGTGCCATGGGCTGTAAACATCTTGATGATATTGAGCACAGTGGACACAGGAACATTAAGATCTCTGGAGAGGGAATTGTAGCCTTGAGATTGTCAATGTTTTTTCACAATTTTTTCTCTCAAATCCAGACAACTCTTTACACTTCATTCTTTTCTCCATGCTCAGTCACACACAACACAAAGGTGAGTCAACTTTTCTCCATCTTAACTCGTTGCAAGTGTGATGATTACAATATTGCCCACACTTCTTACTTGCGACAGGTTGTCTAAATACAAATTAAAGGAGTATCACATGCTTGAAAAGCAATTATTTCTTACAATTTAGACAGGGTGGCAATAATTTTGGCAAGTACATTTTGGGTTTCTGTGTGGAATTGTATCAGATTTACTTTTCTTCTCTGTTTTTTTGTATTGTTCCAACGCAAACCAAAGAAATGAACATGTGAATACCAAAACATTTGCAACTGCAACAACATTCTGAGAGAAGGGTTGCATTTTCTGACAGAATTGCAGAGGGTGGTTTACTGTCAAGCGTAAAGCAGCGGTCCCCAACCTTTTTCGGTCTGCAGACCATTTGGGGTGTGTGTGCTCCATGCACGGACCATTCTGCTGCCCTTCTTGTTTATCTGAACTATATAACAGAGTTTTCCAGGAGGTGGCAGTGTCTTTCCAATACTCTTACCCTTTCTGTTGTGGCTCATAAGCAGAAACAAATGCTAAAGCTGCCCAGCTGCTAATGTGAAACCACCTTTCCCATATAGTGGTTAGTCTCAAGGTGTTTTGAAAAGCCCTGAGGGTCTCACCATTGCTGTCAGACAGATACAGTAAGAAAAAGCTGTGAAAATAGCTGTTTTGAAACCTCTTCCAACGAATCTCTGACGTATACCTTCCCTGAGCTGTGTGACTGGAAAGAAAGGAAGATCCCTACTTAATTACATCTTTCAGTCACAAAAGAAGAGTACTCTTTTCCCTCCCTCCTGCTCCACCATTTTTCAGAGATATTTGTGGTGGTTCAGCAGTGTCAGAAGAATGAATATGTAAAAACAGACTTCTAAATTTCCAAGACAGTTCAGAGACCACTGTGGCTTCTCTCTTTGTCTCAGATCATTTCAGAATTTGGATTCAGAAATGGCCCAAATACTTCTAAGATGAATATGTCTGTTCAGATTCCTATCTTATCCATGGGTTTGTGGGGGAAGTTGCACATCTCTAACCACTAGTATACAACCTCTTTTCCCCAGAGAGGCAAATCAAATTATAGGGACTGCACAACATTCTTGTGTCACACACTCTTCATGTTCACAAGGGGGAGATTTGGTGATGGGAATC